CAGAGGTCCTCCAGGCTCAAGGGCACCAATGATTCCACCACTGCTGAGTCTCCCACTTCCTCCCCGGGGCAGATGCCCAGTTCGGGGGGGCCTAGGCCCCAGATGTGGCCCATATGGTCGTGGTTGGTGGGGGGCCAATACTGGACCTCCTTTTCCTGGACCAGACCATGGGGGTCCTTCCAGGGGAGGCTTTCACAAAGAGCAGAGAAATCCTCGAAGGCTCAAAAGTTGGTCTCTTATCAAAAATACCTGCCCACCCAAGGATGGCCCCCAAGTTATGGAAGACAAATCCAACCGCCCTGACACTTTGCCACAAAGGGTCACTGTCGATATGAGGACCTCTGTGCCTTCTACTACCCAGGCGTCAATGGACCTCCTCTGTGAGACTGTGCCTTCCCATCTGGGCTGGAAGGAGCCCTCTGTGACCTAGCAGCCATATATTTCCCTGTGGCCCTGGGATGGCTACCGGGAGGCTGTTCCACCCACCACCCTCAGTCAGTGACACCCACCCCCATCCGCCACCTCCCCATTTGGGGTCCAGAGTTGTGTTTCATCACTGGGGCCCAGGGTGTCGTCTTTCTTCTGATCCAGCCTCCAGTGACTCGCCTTCAGGACCCCATCTTTGCTCCCCTTAACTGCCTCCTGGATCCTCTTCCCCCTCACCAGCGGACTGCGGAACAGGAAACCTCTTTGGTGCTATTTCTTGTGCATCTGCCCACCCAGCCCCCGGTACTGCCCTCGATTCCAGAAAGCTCTGGAGCAGTTTCCTACCATTGCCTTCTGGCTGCTTAAGTCCTTTTTATGTGACAAACCTTACCCTCAAAGTTGCCAGTTACTCCGTGAAACTCACCAGGTCGATCTGGGGTCAAGTATGGATGACCCTTGTAGAGTTACTTCCTGAAAGGCCACTCTCCCTGCTTTTGGATTTTGTAGTTTCTGCGTCAGTAGCACGATCCCCACCTCTGGTCTGTGATCACTGTGCTTTGTGAAACTGTGCATCCCTTCGTACGCAGCCTCTCTCAGTGTCCGTGGCATCTTTGTGGCTTCCCGACACTAGAGTAAGTTTTTCTGCCCAAACGACTGAGACTCGGTGCCCTCTAGACTTTCCATACCTCCCAACGGTGGGAGAATTGTGAACCTTTCTGCAAGACTGCCTCCCTGGTCTCCCCATCCTGGTGTCGGTTTCTCTGGGTTTGACACAAGCCCATGAGATGTCCTCTAAAGTTTCTGATGGGCAACCCTATCTCCTCTCCAGCCCACTTTAGCTAGACTATGTCATTGTGAGGCCACCAGCCCTTTTGTCTGAATTCTGTGAATCTCCACCCGGCCTACCTTTGGGTGGAACCTGGACAGTACTGTCGCCTTCGTCTAACCTTCTTCCCTGCATCCCTGGCACTGGTTGTTTCCTGTGAAAGCGGCAGTGAGTTTTGAACTGGCCCTGAGGAAATGGGTCAGGGGTTGTGTGGCCAAAAGGGAAGGATGAGAGCCGTTGGGGAACTGAGAACGAATTTTTTTTTTCTTTTTAACATTTTTTTTTATATTAGCAATAAATGCAGTGGAAAAAAATATTTTTGAGAGTAAGAGTGTGAGTGGGGGACAGGAAGAGAGAGAGGGAGACAGAAGACCCGAAGTGGGCTCCACACTGACAGCAGCGAGCCCAACGTGGGGCTCAAACTCACCAACCGTGAGATCACGACCTGAGACGAAGTCAGTCGGTTCAACCAACTGAGTCACCCAGGTGCCCCAAGTTTTTATTTATTTATTTATTTATTTATTTATTTATTT